TCTAGCCACATGGATGAGATGTCTGGGGATATATTAAGCCAGGCCGGGGTTTGGGGTCGGGGGGGTGTTCGAAACAGAGGAACGGAACAGGTGTTACGGAGCAGAGGCTTTGAGATTATTTGTAGGGTTTTGAGGGACGTGTTGTGCAATACGTCCCTCCCACATGGTTGTACATTACAGTACAGGTTCTGGTGTATGGTTTTTAGCATTGTATGGGCGGTGGTTCGGAAAGGGGGGGTAGGGTAATGAGTTTTTATGATACCACTCTCTTCAAACAAGTCGCTCGCTCGTTGGGTGTGGACGGTGATGTGAGTGCTGTTGGCGGGGGATTATACGTGGGCGTGGGTGAAGATGTACTTGGGCACTTGATGTCTACATCCATCGCTGGTGAGAGGGGAGTTTTGCTGGCGAGAGTATGACAGATGTGTGGCTAAGGGGGTTGAAAATGGGCGTTAGGTATAGTCAACACGTCTAACGTAGAAGAGAAGGGGAGGGCATACTCGATAATTCCCTGCGTCGTCAGGAGTACACTGTGGGTCACGCTCGAAAGAATCACGTACTAAAACGGAAAAGACTAAACAAATAGATGCTCATGGTGTTGTGATATTGATGGGTATCAATCTAACCGCCCCCCAGAGCCGCCACTGTTGAAAGCCCCCGTCTAAAGCAATGGCAAAAAGAAAAGAAAAAGCCTGGGGTAACAGGCAAAACAATAACCACCAGCACCAACCCGCCGTTGCGCCCCAACGCCCCCATGCGTCCAACCTCCCATGCAACCGCAACTTATCAAAGCCGAACCCACCCGCCATCAAGAAACAACAGCACCAAATCAAGGCGCTAGATAACGGGCACTCCTTCTCGACTCACCACTCAACCTTCTCCGGTCCAACCTCTTCACCACCGCACCTAGCACCACCTTCAGAATGGCATCCGCCGACAGCACATGGCCGGACCCCGCCCAGGTCACGGTATCCACGATATCGCGGATGCCACCGCCCTGCTCCGACAAGCCGTCATCCAGCTCCTTAAGCGCCTTGGTAGCCTGGGGGTCGTTACCGACCTGGAAGAACTGGATGCCCACCTGGTGGGGCGGGGCGTCCAGGGTGTCGAGCTTGCGGGCGATGTTGATGATGACCGACTCCGGGTCGTCGGTGGGGGCGCCATCCGTGATGACGATCATGTTGACGGGCTTGACGCCGCAGTCGTCCGGGTTGCCGGTACGGGCGGCGGCGCGCTCGTACTCGCGCAGGTAGGGCTTGAGGATGGCGCTGATGCGCGTGCCGGTTGGGGTGGCGCCCTGGGGCCGCACGCGCTTGAAGAGGTCCTCGACCTGCTTCGTGGTGGTGATGTTGCGGAAGCCCTGGGCCGGGTTGTCGGCGCTGTGGCGGCCCGTGTCGCGGGCGTTGAGGAAGTAGACGTCGATGCCGTTAGCATCGTGCGACGTGCACACGGGCGCGATGCCCGAGATGACTTCCTTGACCTCGCGCCACGACTTGCCGGCCATGGAGCCGCTGTCGTCGATGAGGAAGATGGTGTCGAAGCTGGAGAGGAAGGCGTAGGGGTCCTCGCGCGATGTGATGCTGGGGTCGGAGCGGGCCGAAACGAAGGAGGGCGCGGGGGAGGCCTGGCGCGCGGGGGGCGGGGTGTTGAGGGTTATGAGGGGGGTTGAGGACGGCCCAGCAGGGGCGGCTGCGGGGGCGACTGCCGAGTAGGGGGGAGGTGCATCGGTGGCGCCAAATTTGGTGTCGCTCGATGGCGGAGCTTGGGAGTAGTTCTCCGTTTGTGTCGCGAAGGGGTTTGGGCTGGGCGAACGAGAGCGGTTCTTCTTGGACGACAATTTATCTTTCAGGGACCCAAATAGGGACTTGCTAGGTGCTGGTTGAGACATGGTCGACGATTTGAATCGAGGTGTTGCTCAGTTAACGGTTGTCAAGAAGAAGGAGGATGGGTTGCGATGGTGGGAAGTAAAAAACAATCGAGGGAGGGTCGGTGCGCTTGATGGCTTTTAGATCGGATCGTGATACGTTTAAGTTGGTTATTAAGTGCCTGAGGTATGCCGGTCAGAACAGCTAACAACCAAGAAGTGCTTGATTGTTGTTCTGTGGAATCTCGCAAAGGTCTACAAGGGCACAGGAAATCTTCCTTTATCATTCATATTTCATTCTTTCATCGCTTCATCGCATCCTCTTTGCGAGCGGCAAAGATGTAACAGCCGCCTCCTGCCGAGCCCAAGTGAGCCCAGCGTTTGCCTTGGAGCTTAAAGGAACACCGATCGGGGAAGGCGACGATTGGCATTTGGCGCAGTCAGTCAGGCATCGGGAAGCACAGCCACGTGGGTCTGTGGCATGTGGCACCCCTCTAACCAAAAGGGGCAAACTCGGAAGAGAGGAAGAACTCAAGGAAATAGAAAGAACTAAAGGAAACTGAGCAGAATAAGTCAAATATAAGTCACCGAGCAAAATAAGAAATAAAAACAGACTTTTGGCTTTTTTTTCGTGCCTACAAATATAGTTGAAGCTCTCGTCGGAGTCGAAGTTCGGCTTGTTTGCCCATTGGGCGTGGCCCCGCTATGCGGCCATGATTGGCGGTTAAGGTTGTGGCGGTGTTAGCACTGCCAAACCATGTCTTGCATATCACGGGGATCCAGCATTTGGGTGAGTACAAGGAATCCGATTAACCTCGCTTGCCTCGCCAATGTCGGATCCAAATCTCTGGGACATGGCTGAGCGTGGGGGATCCCAATTAGTTAGGCGCATCGCGATGTACCACACATCCAATACCGAAATGTGCCCACGGGCCAACAGGGGGAGACCACGAGATGGCCAGCATTGCCCCCTTCTCGAAGCCCTCAAGACGGCCTTGACAGACGGTGGTACCGCATGAACAGCAGACCGAATAGACGCCCTTTTCGACCTGCAGTTGACCCTCTTTACTCGCAATCGTTGTTACCGACGACGGCCTTGAAGGCATCCAGCAAGGCGCTCCTGGGCGATGCAATGTGATGCCTGGCTCCTGTTGTCTTGCTCTTTTTATGGACGGCTGGGTTAGGTTTTGTGAAGGTCAGCAACAGCATAGGGAAACCACAAAAGACACCCAGGGGGAGTATACACGAGGGCCAGGGTTGCAGCATCTTTTATAGAAAGCCTCGTGTAACAACAGCCCTACGAGGTGACAGAGGTCCAAGGCGGGATTTGGGGTCCAGGAAAGTTGGAAAATCGAGGACCCGATGAGATGACCTGCAGCTTCCGCTTCTTGGCAGGGGAGCCGGGTGCCGTTGCCGGCCGGGGGGTTTCTCAACTGCCTGGCCCCACCTGCATCGCCCCGGAGCCCCTCTGCCCCGCTATCTGGAGCCCAACGGCGGGGTTGGTGATCGATAGGATGGCATCGCTTGAAACGCGGCTTCCTCTCTTGTTGAACAGTCTCGACCCAAGTTACATTACAATTACAGCCTGAGAGAGCCTAGATTCGGGTCGCTGCTGGCTGCTAAGTGATGCTGTTCGTATCGGGGACCAGAGTACCAAAATCCATAAGCCCAATTCCCGCCGGCGATTTTGGACATAAGTGTCTCAAAAGTGAGCTTACCCAGGTTGCACACCGAGCTCTGGTGATTCCACACATTTGCAAGCTCTTGTCCGAACGAGGGTGCAGCGCCGCGGTAATCCCAGTTGCTCCTAGCCACTCGCCTTGACATGTCCCCCCCGAGCTGCATGAACTGCATTGAAACGCGACGGGGAGGCCATTGCGGTGAGACGGGAGCGCGCGGGGCACTCTGGAGGGGTGCGAGGGGTGAGAGAACTCGCCGATGGCATTGGGCAGGATCGCGACAGAGCTTCTTTTTTGTTGGGTCGATTTGCAGTTGCGGTGAGGCGCCTACACAGTGTACACAAACAGAAACCATCCAATGCCCAAGCCGAACCTGCGCGTATTTCCGTGCCGCCACTGCCTCCCTCAGCTTTGCTTCCCTGAGTTGGTGACGCCGTTTGCAATCCCAAATCGTATTCCCCTCACTGGTTTTGCTTTTTCCTCTTTAAGGACCAACATCTTTTATCGTTTCCCTCATTTTTAATTTAGGTCTTGTTGATTAGCAACAACATCCAACACCCCTACATTGTAGTGTACCAGGTTCTTCTTGCCACCCTCTGCCCATCATGGCCAGCGCCGCCGAGGCGTTTGCGAACCGCAAGTTCAGCATCAACCGCAACACGGGTGTTCCCAGACCTGCGCGCCGTTTCTCCATTGGGGAGCCAGGCCTGAACGGTATGAACATAATAAACCATTTTAATCAACTTTGTCACATCTCGCACCACTAACCGTCGCTTCTAGAGGCCAGCAGTAAAATCCATCGCCAATTCAGAGCTGCCCATGAAGGGTACGGCAATTCCGTCTCTTCTCACCTTAACTCTCGACACTAACCGACTTTACCCAATAGCCATCTCCCCCATGCCGGTCTAGACGCGACTAGGGCCTCTACCGGTGTAGTATGGTGTACCGAGCGAGCTGCCGAGTTTGGCTTCCTCGAGGAGCCCGACAAGTGGGCCAACCTGGGTCGTATGTACATGTCCGCTCCCCCCTTGCACCTTCACAGCATGACTAACAACAGTCTGCAGAGGGTGCCCCCGAGGTACATAACACACATACACACACACCTACATACGCTGGACGGCGTGGAATGGCCTATTCTAACACCGATCTAGGTCGAGGATGACATTGAAGGCTGCTTCGCCCGCCCTACCCACATCGACATCAGCGCTGCCAGCCGCGAGTATGGCCCAACTGCGGGCATCAAGCCCCTGAGGGAGGCCGTTGCTCGTCTGTACAACGAGATGCACCGCAAGGGCAAGCCGAGCCAGTATACCTGGGAGAACGTCGCCATCGTGCCCGGTGGTCGTGCTGGTCTCATCCGTATCGCTGCCGTCCTGAACAACGCCTATGTTGGCTTCTTCATTCCCGACTACACGGGTACGCATCCTTTACCCCGGTGCTTGGCGACGGCCGGCTAACTAAAAGAAACAGCGTACAACGAGATGCTCTCGCTGTTCAAGAACGTATGGCTCATCACCCCCCAGGAGCCAGGGGCCCCATACTGACACTTCCTAGTTTGCCGCCATCCCCGTCCCCCTATCCGAGGAAGATGGCTACCACATCCATCCCGAGAAGATTGCCGAGGAAATCTCCCGCGGCACTGGCGTCATTCTCACGTCGAACCCGCGGAACCCAACCGGCCGCGTCGTCCAGAACCCGGAGCTGGCCGAGATTCAGGACATCTGCCGGGAGCGTGCCACCTTTGTGAGCGACGAGTTCTACTCGGGCTACAACTACACCAGCAACTGTGATGGGTCTACCATCAGCGCCGCCGTGAGTATTGAAGTTTTCAGTTTTGCTGGTATTGGGACTGACGGAGCGGAAAGGAAAACGTCATCGATGTTGACGAGGACGACGTGTTGATCATCGACGGCCTGACCAAGCGCTTCCGCCTTCCCGGCTGGCGTGTCGCCTGGATCCTTGGCCCCAAGGAGTTCATCAAAGCGTTAGTCCGCCCCCCCCCAAACCCTTCCCCACCCAACCCCAACTTCCATCTACCTTGATATGTACTAACGAAACGACATCTTGCAGCATCGGCTCGTGCGGCTCGTACCTCGACGGCGGCACCAACGTGCCCTTCCAGGAGGCGGCGGTACCCATGCTGGAGCCGTCGCTGGTCAAGACGGAGATGGTGGCGCTGCAGACGCACTTCCGGCACAAGCGCGACTACGTGGTCGGCCGCCTACGCAGCATGGGCTTCGTCATCCGCCACGTGCCCGACTCCACCTTCTACCTGTGGCTCAACCTCGAGGGCCTGCCCGGCCCCATCTCGGACGGCCTCAACTTCTTCCAGGCCTGCCTCAACGAGAAGGTTATCGTTGTGCCCGGTATCTTCTTCGATCTCAACCCCGCCCGCCGCCGCGATCTCTTCGACAGCCCCTGCCATCACTTTGTGCGCTTCTCGTACGGCCCTCGTATGGACGTGCTGAAGATGGGCTGTGATGGTATTGAGAGGGTCATCAACAAGTGAGTTCTCTTTTCTTTTTTTTTTTTTTTTGACTAGACCTTGTTACCCGGTTTGTGTGCATAGTGTGCTGACTCGATGGTAATAGGTTCAAGAACTTGGTGAGCCATTAGGTTTAGTAATGTAGGGTTGCTTAGATGTGGGACTGCTGTCTGACGTGTCGTGGATGGGTAGGCAGGGTAAACAAACCTCACTCTTTTGTTGTCTCTTCATGTTTAGGGGGCTGGATAAACAAACCCCTGAGTTGCTTGGCTTGGCATTTTTCCACGGAGCCCGGTTCAGGGGTCGCCAGTACCTCGGTAGATAGACAGCAGAAGGCGGCACTGATTGTCATCGCTCAACAGTTCAAGACTCTTCTCATCCTGAATGCTTACTCTACTCAATGGAGGTGATCCTTTGATCGGGGGACAAGGATTATGCGGGATACCCGGGCCTTGCTGTTGAGCACTGTTTCACAGCCACGAGTACAATCTGTGAGCTCCCGAGACAGATCTGTCTGCCGTAACCCACCCGCGAGATAAAATGTGGAGTGGTAGGGTTGCCATGGCACACGCTTCCTCCCTGGCGAGAACACGGTCGCAATGGACATCGACAAGTACCACCACGAGAGTACAATCTTCCACCTTTCCCTGCATGTTGAGTCGAGACGGGAATGCTTGGAGCAGGGTTTAGACTGCCAGTTTAGACGTGGAATAAACGGATGAAGAGGCAACCAAACGCGGAACATCTCGCGAAACAGCAAGGTACCATGAGGTTCTACGTCTTTAGAACTTACACTGACACGAGAACGGTAGCGAGACCTTCTATCCTAGAACAGTAGGTCCTTGTCACCTTAAGTCTCACCTCCCGGGTCCTTAGCTGCGTCTTGAATTGCCAACTGTGTTGGGACACGAATGATCCACCCTTTCTCGACGTGTAGCCCAAGAATGGACACAAGCAACGCCGCCGGGGGGCTTGGTGTACGAAGTGTGGGTTCTACTTAGTGGTGTTCGGCACTGAAACTGCTTCGTCTCTCAGTCGTGACGTTTTGGTATTCCCAGCAAGCCACTACCGCGGCTTAACGTTCCCATTTTGTTGTGTACTGTTTTGGGTTTGCGGCCGTGATCGCATCTCGGCCGGGTGACGAGGAACAGTTGGTCTAACACTGTTGGTAATTATCGAGTCCGAGGGCAGGGAGTCGCACTTTTGTTGCTCTGTCCTCCTATCGGTTCGCCCGGGACGGGAGGGACTGTTTAAAGTCTCGCGAGCAGTGGTACGATGATGAGTACGCGAATTGACGGTGGCGGATTGAAGTGTTCCTGTACATAGGTCTCAGATCTGTTGGGGTAGGGTCGAAGCTCGCGCAACCGAAAAGGATCAATTCCGTTTTGAGGGGACAATGGCTTGCTATAGCCGAAGTGAGGTGGGAAAGAGGTCAGGATTGGGTCATCTTGGTGAGAAAAGCCTGAGAAGAGAGGAAGAGGGTTGCCCGCGATCAAACGCAGCCAGAAGCTGAGACCCTGCTTCCCTGACCCTTTTAGAGGATTGGGTATCCGAGGAAAACAACAACGCAAATCGGCAGTTAACTGACAGGCAAAGAGACGTGAAGAGTTGAAGATGAAAACGGCCCGATCTTGGCAACGGTCCTTGAGGGTCTGTCAATGCCCAGGCGTTGTCAGAGTCAGCCAGGCGGAGGAGAGGAACCCCCACCCCACTCTCACCCCGGCAGCTGAAAGGTGAATCAGGGTTAACGGGCACGTGGAACGTGGGTAGCTTACCCCCACGGACCGTGGTGCGACCGCAATGACATGCCAGAACACCGCTGACAAGCTCGCGGGAGGCATGGTTGCAAGACACGGGAACGAAACGCAGTCGGGTGCTGGTCCCGGGTTTCTTTTACCCCATATTATTCCCGGCCCCTGGTTTTAGAGTCCAAATTTGGATAGACCGTGATTGAAATCCGTGGGGGGAGGACGGGAAACCTGGTGTTCTGGCCGCCTGCCCGGCATCCTCGATAGCATGGACGGCTGGAAACAATCGAGACTTGCCGAATAGAGGGCGGGTAAACAGGGCAGATTATGGATTGCCATGTCGCATTCTCGGTCCGAAGTTTAGAGGCAGCCTCGTCAATGAAACGGCGGGAAGTGGACAATGCCAGCCAGGAGCCAAGCAGAAGGAGCTGCCCGATGCTGGGGTTCAAGCCTTGGAAGTGGATTACGTGGGAAGGTTTGGCTGAAGATGTTGGGAAGCTGCGATTGGAAGCGGGACAAGGATCAAAAACTTTGATGGTGACGCCTCCCGGCATGTCAATTGCGTGATCAGGGCTTCGGTTGTCGTCGGCGCCAAACAAAGAGGGACACAGCAACAGTTGCAGCGGAGGATGGAACGATCCGCTGCAATTGAAAGTTGGCTGCATAAGTCCTAGGCAGTTGACTACTGGAGAGGAGAGATCGGATATCCAACCGATGTGCGTCTGCAGGCGGTTCGTGCACTGCGTGTGGGTTGACCGCTCTTGCCAGTGAAGACGAAGTACGGTCTAGCGCCAAGAAATCAGGGGCTCTTGGTGTTGACGTTCGTTGCTGAGTGGAACACCGTCGAGGGATTCTTGGCGTCAAGCTTGGGCCTGAAGGTGAGAAGGTCGCACCGTGGCAGACCGAAACTAGAAGAAGTTCTAGAGCTTTCTAGCCAAGCTTTCAGATCCCACCAGAGTCTATGTACGAACTAAAGGCACTCTCAGCTGCAAATCTCGGTGGCATATCTTGTAGGCCCAGTGATATTCACAAGGTTCAACGGCAGATAACAAGGAGTTTACCAATTGAAGTGTTCTATCCTGCGAGATCAATCACTCACCAAGCAACACACATCCATAATCTCACTTTACACGCCAAAAAAGGCATCTCGAACAACGAACTCCGAACAAATCAGACCCGCATCCGCCTTTTTAACCCCCAGGAAACCCAAGAACGCCTTCGCGGAAGGCCGGCAGCTCACCGACTGCACACCAATGCCCATCCGCATCCCAGCAGCGCGACTCCAGGCGGCCTGCAGCAGACCACTCCCGGCCACCCTCAGCCGAGCCCTCCTCGGCACCGTACCCCCACGGACGGCAACCAGGACCAGGATACGCGAACAGGTTCAGCCCTCGGTCCAATCGCTCCTTCTCCGCAACAAGATGAGCAGCAAGGCCGGTTTCAGCCCAGCCACCAGCACCACGGCGGCAATCAGCGGCAGCAGCACCAGCAGCCCCGCACCGGCGTCGAGCACGCCACCGCGCCCCGGCAGCTCACCATCAGCAGCCGCGGCCTCGGCCTCGGTGGCGACGGCAGCGGCGGCGGGAGCATCGACAGCAGCAGCAGCAACAGCAGCAGACGCAGGCGCAAACTCAGGGGGTGCCGCACCCGCCCCTCCATCCCAGCACAGCCAGGAGCCAGAGACCGAGCAGCAGCAGCAGCCCCAACCCACCGTTACCAACACCACCACCCGCAACAATGGCGCCATCACCACCACCACGGACACCTCCGCGGCGCCCACCGCCCCAACCCTCCCGGCCCTCCCTGAACCAGAACAGGGAACGACGACCACCACAATCCACGTCAACGGCCAAGCGGTCGCGCTCGATTCCCTCGGCCCCATGGTGGTGAACCGCGACGGGACGGTGTCGCGGATCGGCAACTGGCACGAGATGAGCGGGATCGAGCGGCAGAACACGCTGCGGATCCTGGGGCGGCGCAACCAGCTGCGGCTGGGGAATCTGCGGGCGGGGAGGCCGGCTGATGGGGAGTCTGGGGAGGGGGATAAGGGGAGGAGGTGAGTGAGTGGGGAGGTAGGTAGGTAGAAAGTGAGTGAGTGTCTGTGAAAGCGGTCATGAGGGGGGAGGTTAGTGGGTGTTGTATGTTGTGTTGAGTTTTTGATATCAAGGGGAACCCATGAGTTGAGAGCACGTTAGTTAGGGGTAGATGGCGCGTGATGATCTTCCCAAGTAAAAGCAAAACCACACATCTCATCATGGCAAGTCAGTATGAGATGGGAATATATATGTCCAGTTATATTCAGGCCAGCACGCAATCGCCTTCTCGCGCAAGCAGACAAGCAACGAACGCCGTCAAAAAGAAGCCAAAAGCCCAAGCCAGCCATTCACCAGCCCACTGCCATTTCAGACGCACAAACGAAAATCGGTCCTCCCATCGGGCTAACATGACACATTCCCCCCCTTCCTGGCCTTCCTCCCTTCCCCTCCGCGGCACCAGCCACGCAAACGCCGCTCCGATGACGATAATCAATCATGCTGCATCATATAAAAAAAACCTGAGCCTCATTTCGTATATATTTCAATCCTTCTTCTTAGACTTGTCGCTGGCCACCTTAATGCTGTCCTTGCCGTCGTCCTGGGACGAGGCGACCTCCTTGAGCAGCTTGTCGAGTATGTCGTCGCGGCCGCCGTGCTTCTCGGTGACGAGGCTCTTGAGCCACTTGTTCTCCGTCTCGAGGGCCGAGATGCGGCCCTCGAGCATGGTCACCTTGTCCGTCATCTCCTTGGCGCTCTTCTCGAGGGCTTGCTCGCGCTGCTTCTTCTTGATGCGGAACCGCGCGCTCGCCGCCGTGTTGCGCTTGCGCTTGTCCTCCTCGGCCGCCAGCCGCGACGCATCCTCGAAGCTCAGCACCCGCCCGTTCGGCGTGTGCGCGTGCGCATGTCCGCTATTCGACTCAGCCTCGCGTTTCTCGACGACGACACCGCCCTGGCGGGCTACCCCTCCCCTGACGGCGACCCCGTCTCTTGGTACGTACCCTGTTGGTTGGTGGTGCTGCTGGTGCGGGACCTGCGACGGATACGCCGACTGCGGGCCGGGCTGGATGGGCTGCAGGTTCCCTAGCGCGTCAGGGAAGGCCGGGCCCGTGGGCGAGGTGAAGTTGCTGCTGTAGTCCCCGAAACTGAAGTCGCCTGGAGACATTGTGCCATGGTCAGCGCGCCGAACGGATACACAACAACAACAACAACGAGGTCGAGCCAATTTCGTGATAAGCCAAGACAATTTCAAGTCAACGGCGGCGCCGCCGGCGGGAGAGGCGGAGACCGGGGATATTGAGGGCCATGGTTAGGCGGTCCATTGTTGATGCCCCATGGTCGATGGTGCAATCCCCCCCAGGTCACGAGAAATGGCACCATCGTCGGCAGCGACGATCATTTGTCAGACGCCATTTAGGCGGGCCCTGGAACTCATGCTCCCAAGGCGCATGCATTCGGCCGCCAGCCTTCCAATCATGACCTGGCCCGGAACTTTGGGGGTCATCATCGAGGGTGGGGTGGGAACGCCCGTTTCCCGATCCGTGATAAGAGAATAGACGCTGCTTGGTCCGTCTGCCTGCGCCCTCCCGTGGTAGTGACGCTGGGAGGTGTTGATCTCATGTGCTGCCGTGCCGCCACGACGCACTTGCTCGCTGCGCCTGCGTTGCAATGGCTATGCAGGTGGAGAAGAGTCCGTTTGAAACCGGCTTATAGCAAAGCAGGGTGAAAAAAATAAAGCAGCAATATATGAGAGAGAGCGAGAAGAAAGAAACTGGCAAACTGAAAATGATGAAAAATCCTAACTAACCTGTGATTGGGAACTCGTAGCCGGCTGGGAAATCCCCCATGATGGAATCCGTCGGCGTCGCATCTTCGGTGGGCGAGGTTATGGCATCCGGCTTGACGGGCGGCGCCTGGTAGTCGGTGTGCTGGCCGGTCTCAAAGTCAAAGAACTGTGTGTTGGTGAAGAGGGCGAGATCCTTCTCGAGGTCCTCGTCGGTCAACGGCTCCTCTACTGAGGGTCCCTGCACATTGAGGTTGCGCAGGTACTGGGAGACGTTGACCCTGCCCGTGCCGTAAGACGACATGGTTCGTCCGGTGTGCGCTCCGTCGAGACGCCCGTCTTGAATTGGATGTTTGGTTCGAAACTGGCCGTCTCTTGAGGCTGGGTTTCGGAGTTTGTCGAGGTCGGGGGGCCCGGGCGGGTGATGTGGGAATCCGTCTCGCGATGTCGGTGCGGTGATTAGAAAGCACGGTGCAGCACAAAGGGTGCTAAGCGGGGTCCTCCGGAGGTTGACTCGGCTTTAAGTTCGGCAGGTCGAGTCGGAGGCAAGAGGTGAAACAAAGAAACCACAAAAACACCGTGTTGTGAGATGATTTGCTGAGTGGGAGTCGGCGGTGATGGCGTCGGGGGTTTCAAGTGCACTAGGCGAGGGGAGGCGCGAAGGAAAGTGAGGATATGGACAGTTCAAATCAAGATCTGTCTGAAGCGAGGGCAGTCGGAAGGGTCCAGAGCGTGGTGCGTGGAGCGTGGTGCGTGGTGCAGTTCCCGCAGGCCACCACACGCGGACCGATGCCCTCAATTAGTCAGATCAAACCTGTGTCATCCCACGTTCTCGGTAAATCTCGAAATTGCCCCTCCATGACCCACCCATGGCAGGAAAGGGCCAATTGGAAGGAGAGAACAGCCCGCTGGCCCTTTTTCATCATCAAAGCCCGCCTTCGTCAATTGAGACTGCTGTTCCCGTCAACTCCCAACCGAGGCTTTGTTTCTCGAGATGTGCATGTCTTGCGCGGCTGCACCGTCTCCCGATTGGATCGTAACATAGTAAACCTCATGGACCGTTCGCAGTCTCGTGGTTCCTGCTGGCACTCGGCCCTGATGCAACGGTTCCGCCTTGTGGGGACGGCTCGCCACGCCCTTTGGCCATTCTGTCTCGGATCTGCAGAATGATGATGAATTGACGAGTGGGACAGCGCTCCTTCTTGGGGCGAAGCTTTTGCCCTGCGGCTGGGCGGAACTTCCATGAAAGGGAAAACGAGATGCGGGCCCCAGCGCCGAACTCGGCAAGGCCCGCCCTGCCAACGCCGGGCCAGCTCGGCGAAACAGTTCGCCTGTTAAAGCTGAATCGCCCCTATTTCTCTGGTGTGCATCTTGCCCAAGCACGAGCAAGCCTCGATTGAGAGATTTCGTCGATTCCAAAAACTGAGGGCCATTGCGGTTGTGCGATAGGAGAAAACCACCTTTTGGAATCCGGATGGCTCACATGGGAATTGTGTGGGGGGTAACGCGAACGGGGCGTGGGGCCGTCGGGAAGTACTCTACTGTGTCTACTGGCGGTTTTGTTCGAATGTATTTCTTTAGGTATATATTCATCAAAGAAAACAAGTAACAACAACTAAGGTAGGTACGCTAGAATGAACTCAGGTACGAATAAACAGATAAGGCTTTGTCTCAACCAAGCCACATGGCACAGCGTTACAAAAATGCGTCTTTACGGCACCTATACAAACCACCCATTACCTCCCTTAACCGTTCACAAGGCAAAAATCCAAAATATAGAGCATACCATACAACAAAATAACATCTCCAGCAACCGTTACCATGGACACAGCTATACCAAATCCCTCCGTTACCCAAGACGGGCCCGTCGGGGCGGGCAACGCTCGGGATAAACATACCGGACCCAAATCCATCACTCCCCCCCCATCCCGTCGACAGCCTCAAGCAGACGTTTGATAACGCCAAGAAATCGCCCAAGGGCGGAACCAACGGGGTCAGCGTCGCTTCCGGCGAGCTTCAGGTCGATTCAGTCGGCTCTGAGACCGAAATCGATAGCGAATACAACCGTACCGCAATGAAGCGCCGTTATTCGACTCTATTATTCCGGTCAAACTGGGAGGAGTATTTTTTTTTAAAAAAAAAAAAAAAAAAAATAAGGGAAGTCAGTCCATAACGCTCTCGGGAGACCAGCATATGCAGACGAAAGGCGTAAATGGTTATGCTGTCTATTCTCACAACGCGTCCTGGACGGGCGGATGTACTCGACCCAATCTACGCGACTTTTGCAAAGCATAAGTCCGTGGCACCTTAGTCTAGGCAACCTATAAATGAATTCATAATTTTAACTACAGAGTACATGTAAGGAGAAGAAATTATTATTATTCATACTCCGCTATGCCCTAGGGCGTGCCGGACCCTCAGCTATTTTATTGTACAGGAAAACCGTGCCCTCCCGGGGCCGGGTGAAAAAAACATACCAACAATCAAGGAACGATGCGTTCTGGTGAGTCTGCGTATACAAAGAGAGGAGGCCTCCTGGCCTCCGAACGGGGGCGCTTCAGGCCGCCGCTTCCAGCTCGAGCCTCCTGGCTAAGTTGTACATCGGCAGCTTCCCCGAGTCCATCAGCCAGTCGAGGACTCTCCTCGCGAGCCGTGCAGTCGTGGGATTGATGCCGTGTAGAACAGAGTAAAAGTCCCGTCGTGTCCGAATTCCAGTTCTCTCCCATCTTCGAGTCAACGGTGGGGCCAAACACCACACTCGCAGGCAGGAGTCAGAACCTCCGAGACTCCCCGTGTAAACAAGAAGTCCCGTAAGCCTATTGCTCCCGTCCGGATTTGAATCAGCAGTGAGCTCTTCGCCTTGCTGAGACCGTCCTGCCTCCTTAGGGTTTCGTTCCGGAATAGCGTCTCCTGCTGATGGTCAAAGTCGTCCGCCGGCCTGGTGATTACCCTATCACATGTCTATATAAGGTGTTCTATGTTCCGCAACGAATGCATTTCTTTATATAATGTATTTGCCAAAGAAAATAAGTAAACAACCACACCAAACAAAGCTCAGGTAAACTATAAACAGGTAAGGCGGTGTATCTTAGAACAAACCACGTACATAGCTTAGCGTTATAAAAAATGCACAGGTATTCACACCACTTGTATATACATGTCCCGCCAATAGACTTCCCCCTTAAGAGTCAACA